TTTAGATTTGATTGCAATTTTTGATTTTTTTTTTTTTTTTTTACTTTTTACATGTAGGATATTTTGGACAATAAATGGTAGTCACCAACATTATATCTCGCCGATTTTCAGAAACCCTTTGTATTTTTATTTCTTGAATGCACGAGAATTGACTCTAGGTAATGTTTCTCGTCAATAGAAATTGTGTTTGAATGGATTATGAATGATGTTAAGAAGATTGTTGCGCTTGTAAAAAATTATTTTTAGGGGACCTCATAATAATTTATTGACTAGGGCCTCAACATTTTCAGGTCCTGTCCTGTTAGTTGGTCCTCGTTTAATTTAGCTAAAAATCAAAATTTTAGTAAATTTTGATAAAATTCAATGAAATATATAATTGAAAAATTGATAAAAATCGCGGTTCCTGTAATTATATGGTCTTATGCATGGTAAAAAGATTCTACCTATATTGATATTTGATGCTGAAATGCGCATGTCTTCTTAAATGATAAAAGTTTCTGGCATAAAAGGTGAAAGCAAACTCGAGTCCGAGACGAGACAGAGCACGCTTTGCTTTGAGTGCAGCTAAAGAAAAGCACCATCAAAATGTCTCTCTCTCGTGCAAAAATAGCGGATCTTTGTCTAACATCAGCTTTAAGTTTTCTTATTTTTACTCGCTCGTTGTTGATGATGTTGTCCGAAGATTATATATATACCATTGTCACGATTATAGATCTACGGGATCGATGATTTCTTGGTCCTCGATGGGTACTCGTTCATTGAGCAATTCTAATTCTTAATTTTATGGACTCCGTCACATAGGCGAGCATGTGTCATAATGCACTCTTTGCACAACAAATCCACTTTGAATCGTTCGGCCAATTGTCAAACATGAAAGCATTCGAACGAGATTCATTTCTTTATTTGTCTGATTCTACGAAAAAGGCCCATTGGATTCTTAAGAATCAGAATTATTTTTTTTCGTCTAAATAACAAAGTGAATTTCATACACTGTTATAAAGTGTTCTTGCTAAGAAAATAATACTTTGGTTAAATAGATTGTAAAGAAATTAAGAAATTGTTTGATTTTTAGGCTATTTGTGAAACTACCCTTAGAATTTTGTTAATGGGTTGCCCAGTCCACTCTTTTTAACGGACTTCCTGTTGGNATAGTAAAAATTAACCAACTTTGATTTGAAATTTGGGAAGATTTCATAACTAAAAGATTTAGTTTTAGCATTTTTAAATTTAAGAGATGAAGTTTAAAATTTCAAACGTCAGAGTTTTTATTTTATTTTATTTTATTTATAAATAAATTAATTAAACATATATTTTAATAATTAATTATATTAAAGTGACAATTTCATATAATTTGATCACAAATTTCATATAATTCACAAATCTCAATTTTCATGTCACAAATTATTTCACGGTTACAATTCAAAAATTTAATAGGCCACAATGTGTTCATCGGTCACAAATCAAAAATTTGTACGTCGCAATTTATTCATCAGTCACAAATTTATCAAATTAATAATCATATATTATTTATTGGTCACAAGTCACAAATTTTATAAGTCACAATCTTTTTTAAGGTACAAAATATCAAATTAATTGATCACAAATTATATTTAGGTCATAATTTATCAAATTTTTGATCACAAATTAATAAATTTTTAAGTCACGCAGTACATACTGGTTACAATTTATTTGTTTCATTAGTCACATTGTTTATTGATCACAATCGACCAAATCATTTGTGACCACCACCATATCATTGCAACAACCCAACCAAATAATGTGTGACCACCACCCAACACTTGTGTTGCTACCTCACGAATGCCACCAACAACATGTCAATCGAAACCCTGTCGTCGGAACCACCACCACCTACCCACAACCTCCCACGACTAAAAACACAGATGCTCCACTACCAATCCCACTCTCATCCCGCAAAAAAAAATAAAAAAATCCCCAACCCTACTGTCATCAACGTCGCCGTCGTCGACCGCCACCAACACTGCCACCATCTACACAACCCAAGCACAATACACCATGGAACCAACCGAAAACAACATCACCACTTCACCATCTCCACCACTACAACCTCCAATAAACTACAACGTTCAACTTATAAACCACCACCACGACTCCCTACCACAACCACTAACCGTCAAATCCACCACCGCCACTACTACCAAAACCAACAAACCCCGTCAAATCCACAGTCGATCCAACAAAGCCACCACCACAACCAAATCCACCACTGTCATCACCAACAAAAACCATTCCCAAATCACAAAGCAACACATAGCCTACCATCACCCCACTGTCACGATTCAACTCCACAACGTCCATCAACTACTACAAAATCACGACTCCCCCACAAAAATTGCAAAAAAATTAGACATTAAAAAAAATGCAGCGGCGATTCGCACAAATAAATGTCACTCGCTACTTCGTGTTTGTGCACAATGCCGCCGTATGAGGCTGCACCATCTCGTGGAGGCTGATTGCCAGCGAAGAGAGAGGAGATCAGAGAGGGGAGAAGAGTGAAGGTAGAGAGTGAGAAGAGAGAAGGAAGGTAAAATTAAAATGAAATTGATTAGGATTTGGGATGAAAATTGTATGATTAATATTTAATATTTGAAATAAAATGTTTGGTTTTTGAAAAGTTAAACCTTTAATCTGATTTTTGAAATTGAATCTTTAAAAATTTGGTTTTGTGTAATTTCCTTTTTTTTTTTTTTT